TGCCGCTATTTTCTTCACGTTGTGACCTCAGCGCGACGTCCGTTTGTTTGCTCGGATCCTACTTCTGATGTCGGTGGATGGGGTTGATCTGCATGGGAGTCTTCCTCATAAAACATTATGTGTGGGCGCAATAGGGTCACGAGCAAAAAAAAAACAAAGTAATCTGGATCACGTAACTAATTTAATTGGTACAAAATACAACGAGTTGTGTGACGGTTCCTAGCACGGTGTGGCCCGCTCGACCGCTAGCACCGAAGGGCCCTGCCGGCCCGCGCGATCCTCCCGGCTAGACTCCGTCGAAGTGTTGGGTCACAACACTTCCGCCTCGTTGTCAAGTCAGCAGTCGTATTTCTCCGACACACACACACACACACACACACACACACACACACACGCACACGCACACGCGCACGTGCACGCGCACGCGCACGCGCACGCGCACACGCACGCGCACGCGCACACGCACACTCGCACACTCGCGCACTCGCGCACACCGCAACGCGCACACGCGCACACGCGCACACGCGCACACGCGCACACGCGCACACGCGCACACGCGCACGCACGCGCACTAGCGCACTCGCGCACGCGCGCGCGCACGCACGCACGCACGAAATTACGACGAAATTTAACGTCATCGATGTCTCTTCAACGCATTTATATATTTTATTAACCGAATTTGAAGCGGTCCATCCACACATCCACTTACAAACACACAGAGAGAACACACACACACACACACACACACACGCGCGCGCGCGCACACACACACCCAAGCGCGAGCGCGCGCGCGTCACACACACACATGCGCACACACACACACACACACACACACACACACACACACACACACACATACCATGTGCGCGCGAGCTTGGTGTGTGTATGTGTGTGTGTGTGTATGTGTGGGTGAGTGTGCGCGCGCGCGCCCGTGTGTGTGTGTGTGTGTGTGCCTGTGTGTGTGTGTGTCATCCTCATGGGAATAATCAGAATAGCTTCCTAGTTACCTCAAAACGTAGAGATCTGATGAAATCTCGATTTTCGAAAACTGGTAAAACCAATAACTTCCCGTTTTTTTTAAATCATTGATTTTTATAGTGGGAAGTTAAAAGCATACAATCGAATTGTAAAACTCCTTGTCTTAAGATCGGCTCAAAAGAAAAACTAAAAGATCATATTGATATGCTATCAATTTGCAACGCAGATTTTATCTCTTACCATCCAGGGAAGTAGGCACGGTCGGTAGTGAGGCATGATTAAGTTATGAAAGTCAAGATAACCTTAACACGCTGAACTGTGAGCTTTTGACACAGTCTTCTAATGCTCGGCTCGAATCGATAGAAATAAAGGTTGCTCGTGAAATATTTAAAATTAGGTCAGGTAGGTCTTTTTCGTAATGCAACAAATTTGTTGTTGAATTGTGGTGGTGCATATTAATTGTAACATAAAGATGGTGCAAACCAGTTGGACAACAAGTTAACGTCACATCAACATTGCGACAGTGGTTATTATGAATGAAAATCCAAACAATTGCATATTAACGGGTCGTCACCCATCTGATGGGCGGCCACTCAAAATTTTTTCTTTTCCATCAGCAAGCACATAATTTTTTTATTTATTTTACTTTTATTAGTACGTTACTTAATTATTTTAAGGGCACTTCCATCACACTTTAATTCTATATTTTATTAAAAAGAAATGGATCTTTACCATCTGTATATAAAGTATTATTATTACTAATAGAAGTTTTATGTTTTTATGATTGATCGTGACGCTGACGTGATTTTAATGTATCTCGTAATTTCTCAAAATAACATAACCGACTCTAAACTTTCCACTAAGGCTTATTGTAGATCCAATATACATACAATAACTTGTTAGCTACTTCAAAATTGACAAATATATTATAATGATGGAGGTGTTTCTATAAACTGCTTAAAAAGCTTGCATCTACGGCACGAACCCTATTAGGTATGTCACGTCATTTTCTGGTGATTCGCATGGCTGGGCGACTGCATCAACGTAATTTGGGATATCAGGTTTTTTCCGCTGGCAGTGTATGTAGGAAGGGCAGACCGTAAATAACATGTTTTCCATAAGGCATTCAGTTTTCATTGTCAAATTAAAAGAGCCTAGGTAGTTCAGTGGCTGTGCTGGTCATAAATTTTTTATACGTGGTATAGCCACGCTGCAGCCGTATTATTGTTGTAGCACTAATGGGTCGGCTCGACCGGGGAAGGACCACGCTCTCACAGAATACCAGCGTAAAATAACAGCTTAATACTACTGTGTTTCGAATGGTGAGTGTAGAGATCCGGAGACGTTTTTTTACTGGAAACGAGGCATTTCATCTTAGTCCTTAGTGGTGACTAGATGTCTATGGACCACAGTTTGTCACCCTTATTCTATAAAAAAAAACTTAAAGCAAATTGCAACTTGACTCGATGCCCGTCGTCACCACTGAAATTATAATTACAATTTCGTACTCTCATTTACCATGTGTACGGCTTTTCAGGGACTGGGGTCAAACCCAGGTTGCTCGATGTAAAATTTACGGCGAGCATTTAACCCCTGAGTTACCACGGCTCACTTGCCTTATTGGCTTATTGTAATTAATAGCATACATTAATGGGAGCAAAAATTTTGAATGCACCCCGATTTAATTTGGAATAAAACTTATATTATGTGGTAAACGTCTACTAACATTTTATTACGAGATGTTGAGTGAGCAAACCGCTACGGATTTTTCACTTTTAGAAAGCTTTGATAATTCTTACATGTGCCGTATAAAACTTTTTAATCTTCATATTTCTTACGCGAGGATCCTCATTAAAAAGTGTCTGGAAGATAAATCTGGTACAACATAAAAAGTTGCTTTGATGTTGTAACTCAAAAATAGGCGTTTATTACACTTTGTAACATTTTCAATTTGAATTAATAAGATACTCGTTTGGCTATGTATTGTTATTTAACCGTTGTTGTGAAAAATTACACTAAACGATTCCAGTGCAAAATAGCAAAAAAATTGATTTTTAATACATTAATCTTTAATATTACTTTGTGAGAATGTATTGTTATGTTATTGGGGTTTTTGCTCTAATGATTGAGATATGAAAATTTTATAATAATAATAGTAAATACAACTTTACTATAGACAATAAACAATAACCCTTGTTCCATTTTTCCACTCTCCCTTTCTGGGCTGGACATACAGAGAACGCCTTCGGTTCCGGGCTGGTCTTCGCTAGTATAAGCGTGTGTATTCTCCAAAGTCCTTCTTGCGTGCCATCCGCGTGCAAACTCGCGCAGCTGACCAAAGTTCTGCCGACCGTCAACGAGTTCCGGTTAGTAAACCGGGCCAATCATGCCGCGTACAATTCCATCCATCATCTTACACAGCAGGTCATCGTAAATTACGCACTCCCACAGAACGTGGTGCCTATCCTCGTAGGCCGTTCCACACTCACACATGCTTGATTCAGCCAGTTTCATATCATACAATCTCTTCCTGGAACATCCATGCCCACTGAGGATCTGTGAGACTTGATAGTCCGGTACGACCCAATTTGTATTGAGTCACGCCGCCACGTCCGGGAAAAAGCAGAATAATTCCTTACTATTCGTCTCGTTCTTCCATCGTTCCTGCCATACATTCATAACTTCAGCCAAAATTTCAAAATTTCAAAATACGCATCCGGTCAATCCTACCAAAACGAGTTACATTCAGATCGGCCGGAAGTACGCCGGGCAATACCCGAAGCGCCGCAGTATTTATCGTCCTATAGCCCTTCGTCATCAACACGAGTGAAGATCTCTGCGATCTCAGCAGTGCCGTGCGCACTGTATAATTCCCTACCCGATTGACCCAAACGGCTACAGCATATGTTCCTATTGGAATATACGTTACCTTGTATCGAACGCCCAGCACTGTTAAAAATTAAAGTAACAACGATTCAGGGCACAGGGTCTTCTTATATTTTTATATTTGAAGTTTTGCAAATACTTAGATCTTAACATGAATGCGCTTAAGAATGTAACTTCTTTATCGGCCCATTAATTATTAGATAAGGGCCCACCCCGTTGTAGAGCCGTCATGCTTGGAAGGCGTATATACGATCGCAATGCCAGACGTCTCACACCCTTGAACCACGGTAATATTATCTATACCAGGGGAGGCCAACTTGATTAGATCCAAGATCTACTGTTTACTAAGGAAGCCCTGTGCGATCTACCAGTTACATACTCCTTGAAATCTTAAATGAAACAGCATAGTTCAGTACACAATTAAGTAGTTTTTTTTTATTTTATTAAGAGGGAAAACATAAAACTGAAAATTATTCTTAGTAACTTTTTATGTATATTAGTGTGAGCATTGCGTCTGAACATCTTCCGCTAAATTAGCAAAATCAGGTTTGCAGTTGGAAATTTCCAACCTTAAAGAATCCAGTGTACCTATAAGCGTCTTTCTAAGAACGGTGTTTATTTTTTTGTTTGTTTTAAGTAGGAAAATGCGGACTCACATAAATATGTTGAACACGAATGCAATAGTTCAACACATTTCTTCAAACTTAGATATTTCTCGTTGGAAACCAATGCCCAGAAATCGAGACCTGAGTATGACCTTGCTTTTAGAAATATGTCGCATTGCAGAGTAATAATTTAGTTTTGAAGTATTATGTGGTCCATTTGAAAAGTATCTGCAAAATTTGTAGCCATTTCTTAGATATCACTATGTTTAAGGAAATTTTTAAACGGTAAATGATGAATTCCACCAACTTCTCAATTTTTTTTTAAATTATTAAAGTGAATTTCGAAGTCTGATACCACTGCCTTAATTTCTGCCGTGTACTTGTCAGGAATTTTTTGTAGGTAGAATGTTTTTCCATATGATCCTTGATGTTTACAAATTGTTGAATTTTTTTCTTTTCGATGTCAATTATCATAGATGCTGTTTGACTTTGAAATGGTGCAATACAACTCATTTCTTTTACTGTTTTATTCTAGCCATGTAGTAGTTCCATATTTACTGTGCTCAGTTTTCCACTAAAATCTGCTAAATCACATTGCCAGTTTAAATCACACAATTCTGATAATTTATCACGTCTCTCTTTAAGAAATTTTATTATTTCGTCCAATAGATCTCGAAATATTTGCAAAAACTTGCTTCGATTCAACCACCTTACGTCAGTGTACAATGCCAAATCTGGTTCCTTCTCATCTAATTGCTGTTTAATGAGCCGCCTTTGGAGAGATTTTTCTTTTATGGAATTTACAATCTTGAAAGAAATATCCATCACATGTTTAGTGTTTAGTCTCTTACTAGCCAGTACTTTTTGATGAATTATGCAGTGGTAGCTAATGAAGTCCGAAAAATCTTCGTCTTTGTGACAAAGAGCAATAAAACCATTATGAATATCTGACATTTCATCATCAGTTTACATTGATACGAGTTTATACAAAGGTAGCCTAATCTGGCTAATATATGCTTTGAATTCCGTGAATATATCAAGGCCACGAGTTTTTTCTTTTAAGAAAATCATACTTCGCAGTTTTATTTTCGTCGCGAATCTTCAAAGATCATCCGAATAAAAATAAGTAATTGTGCAGTATCAGTGATGTAGCGAAAAAACAACACAGTGGACAATATTTTTTTTTACTTGTTCGTTTTTGTTTATACTTATCGTTTCTATACGGCACATCACTGTATATCAAGACAGCTGTAAACCATGAATAGATTCCTGCTTATTTTTCACCGCGTGCCAAAAACAAAAGTGAGCTATACTGAGTAAAGGGGAGGATAAATAACGTGACAGAACTATAGAATAAATAATATGACGGAACAGTATCATTGAAAATTACAAAAGATAATGCGTGCAGCGGTTGGTGATTACGTTCCGCAGTCTGTTCTACAGTTCTACGTATTTATGTTTATATTTTTTGCCTTGCCACGATCGACTGGACTAATAGTCGCGATCGACCGGTCGATCGCGATCGACTGGTTGGGCACCCCTGATCTATACAGTATTGTAACTCGGCCGTATCTTTCAAATAAATGCCTACAGCCGCGCGGTACGCAATATGCGATAGGGCTGCCTGCCTCCAGCATTTTTACATTTGCCTACTTTGTGTTTCCGTTTAGTTTTATGATTGTAAATATACTTTTTTATATAAACAAATATAAAAAAATGTAAATCTATAAAGGCTTCTATATTACATGATATGTTCAAAACTTGTTTATATATATTGGTAAATGTACAAGCTGTAGATTCTGTTTCAATAAAAAAAATAGGTACTTTGTGAATTGAATACGAAGTGTTCAATAACAATGCGTGTCGTTTTTTATTGGTAGATTTAATTAAAAAACTCTGTTTATGTTTGAATAACAAATCGGTGTTATTAATTTGCGACCAAAAAATATTTGCGCCTCGGCTGAGACTTACGAAATGCTTTATTATTAAATTTGTAAATATAAAAAATCCGCTTTCTAATATAAAGCTTAATTAAAAATTGTTTTGGGAAACATGGACAAGGTGGAGAAAATGAATATCTTTTAGTTGGTTATAGATACCTGCAGCTACTTTACAATTTATATGTTTGGTTTTAAATGAAGTTCGGATTTATTATTTCTTTATTTTTATTCTATTATTTATTTCCTCCATTTTTTTTATATATTCCACAAAATCATCACTGCGGCACAGTCACGACTGTCTGCATGCCGAGCGCATGCCGAGATCGAGGCGCGTAGGCACAGGTCTCGCTTCGTCCGTTTGTATGAAGTTGGAATACTGTATAGATAAAATTACCGTGCTTGAAGCTTCTGTAGTATGACTATTAACATTAACATAAAATGAATCCAGTTAGTGCTGCAATTACTAAAAAAATTAATGCTCAAGGTGTTAGTACATAATGCGTATAAAGTCCTTAAATTAAGACTTGTAATGTCATTACGACAGCAAGTTGCGCCGCAGCAAAACACTTTTAATGCCTTGTCATTAACGTCCGTGAAGGGGCTTTACAATGTTTCAATGTGCCACCAAGACGCAAGTTGAATAATCGGGGCTATTCTACTTTCTTTACATTTATTTTTCACTATAGGATATAATTAAATTGTCTATGAAGTAAAGTCTTGCTTTATTTTCATTCTCAAAATTTTGGGTTCAGACCTGGACTATCCACAGAGAGTGCAATTTTATGTCTTAAGCAGACTGTAAGGTACACAGAAAAACACCGGTGTATGCCTGTTTTTTAGATCTATCAAAAGCTTTTGATCTAGTCTCTTATGACATCTTATGGCGAAAGTTACAGTCTCTATATTTAAATTTTGGTATCGTAACGAAATAAACCATGTTCAATGAAAGCAGCTTTTCTGAGGGGTATGGGCTGGAATGCGGGGTGATACAAGGAGGGTTGAGTTCGTCAACTTATACATAAACCAGTTGATTGTGGAGCTCAGCAGCACTATGGTCGATTATTCTATAGACGGAGTTATCGTCAATAACATAAGCTATGCAGATGACATGGTGTTGCTGAGCCTCATGATAGGTGTGTGTGATTTGTGAATCCTACGCAAAGACCCATGGGCTCAAGTACAATATAACGAAAAGCGAGCTCATGGTTTTTAATTCAGGCACTATAGTTCGGCCGTTCAGAGAATGCGTTCCAGACATCATCATTCTTTTCATCATCATCATTACAGCCCTTCACAAGTCCACTGCTGAACATAGGCCTCCCCCAAGTAATGCCACAAAGCACGGTCCTGAGCCACCTGCATCCATCGACTTCCTGCATGTCTTATCAGGTCGTCACTCCATTTAGTGGGGGGTCGCCCTACACTACGCCTACCGGTACGAGGCTGCCACTCGAGAACCTTTCTTCCCCATCGGTTATCGGTTCTTCGAGCTATATGGCTGGCCCATTGCCACTTCAGCTTACTAATCCGTTGGGCTATGTCGGTCACTCTGGTTTTACTGCGGATATCCTCATTTCTGAGTCTATCACGCAGTGAAACTCCGAGCATAGCCCTCTCCATAGCTCGCTGAGCGACCTTGAGCGTCCTCATACGGCCAGCGGTGAAGGACCACGTCTCAGATCCGTAAGTCACCACTGGCAACACGCACTGGTTACACTTTAGTTTTCAGAGATTGAGGTATACCTGACGAGAAGATGTGTCGTAATTTCCCGAACGCTGCCCAGCCGAGTTGAATCCGTCGATTGACCTCTCGGTCGAAGTTGGACTTACCTAGTCGGACTATTTGTCCCAGGTAAACGTACTCGTCAACAACTTCGAGCATAGTGCTCCCAACAACTACCGGCATAGGTGTGACATGGACATTAGACATGATCTTTGTTTTGTCCATGTTCGTCTTAAGATCTATCCGTTGGGAGACACCATTGAGGTCATTGAGCATAGTGCTAAGGTCCTCCAGCGATTCTGCCATAAGGACTATATCATCGGCAAATCGAAGGTGAGTGATGTACTCGCCATTGATGTTAATACCGTATCCTTTCCAGTCCAGTAGCTTGAAAACGTCTTCCAACGCAGCGGTGAAGAGTTTCGGGGATATAACATCACCCTGTCTTATACCTCTCTGCAGTTGGATAGGTTTCGTACTCTGGCTCTGTACTCGGATAGCCATCGTAGCCCTACTGTACAAACACTTCAGCACTTCAATATACCGACAGTCAACTAGGCACCGCTGAAGAGACTGTAGCACCGCCCAAATTTCGACGGAATCAAAGGCTTTCTCATAGTCCACATACGCCAGGCAAAGTGGCAGATTGTACTCTTCGGACTTCTGTACAATTTGCCGAAGGGTATGTATGTGGTCTATGGTACTGAAGCCTTTTCGGAAACCGGCTTGTTCGGGTGGCTGGAAGTCGTCGAGTCTGCGTGCGAGACGATTCGTAATGACTCTCGAAAACAGCACGTAGACGCGGCTCAGAAGGGAAATCGGTCTGTAGTTCTTCAAGAGAGCGTTGTCGCCTTTCTTAAAGAACAAGACCACCGCGCTTCTGCTCCACGCCTCCGGAGTAGTGCCACCGAGGAGGATGGAATTGAAGAGCTTCTGAAGGACTTCAAGTACCGGTGTTCCACCCGCTTTCGGAAACTCCGCTGTAATTCCATCCTCGCCCGGGGCCTTGCCCTTTTTAAGGTGGTGGAGAGCCATTCTAATCTCGCTCAGACTGACGTCCGGGATATCATCGGAATAGTGTCGGATAAGACTTGCTCTTGGATCGTTACTCACACTTGCGTGTGGCTCCAACGATGATGTGTACAGCTGCCCATAGAACCTCTCAATCTCACTCAGAATCTCAGGTGTCCCGGAAACGATGTTGCCACACTCAGTCTTCAGCCTTGACAGTTGGCTCTTTCTGGCAGACAGATCTCTGGCAAAGACTTTGGAGCCCTGGTTCCACTCGCTCGCTTCTTTAATACGAGCAGTATTAAAGTTGCGTAAGTCTCGCTGCATGCATTTGGAGATCTGTCTGTTCAGTTGCCTGTATACTGTCAAATCTGTTGACGATTGCAGCCTCATCTCCCGTCTAACAGCCATAAGATTAAGAGTGTGATCGGAGAGTTTTTGTGTTCTTCTGCGGCGGGTCTTGCAGAACTTAGCTCCGACCGCATGGACAGTTTCCACGAGCTTGTCATTCATATCGTCCACTGCATTGCAATCCTCTAGGCACTGAAAGCGGTTTTGTAACTCGAGCTGAAAGGTTTCGGGATTCTGGATTAGAGCACGAGGGGGACGGAGCGTTGACTTCATTAGACGAGACCTCTCCAACTTAACATTTAGGTTCAGTGTGCCTCTAACCATTCGGTGATCGCTGCCACCGAATGGTTAGAGGCACACTGAACCTGAACTGAAGGCGACTAGTGATGGGCACAACATAACACTGAGTTCGTTACCGTTCCTCCAAAATGAACCGCCGCGTTATTTTTAAGATTATTTTAGTTTTAAATTGGCGGAATCATTTAAAATTTATATTTTAGTAATTTAAGTGGAAACCAAAAAAATGTAATATTAATATAATGAAATTGTTTTATTTATTCTTTGTTACAAAGTTACAATCTGTATTTCTATGCAATAAAGTACATTGAATTGAATGTGCGTACAGAATATTTATCAGACTCCGATTCGCTTGAGGAGGTGGTGTCTTCATCATCATCTTCGCCTACATGTATAATTATATTATTGTCAATAACAGAATCAATCCTGATATCTCGTTTAAAAATGTTCCACAATCAGGTTTTTAGTCTTCTTAACAACCTTTGCCCAGTCATCTCTTGTGACTTCCCCGCAGGATTCTTTTAATAGGGTCATCATCTTTTTCGTGCTGAATGGCGGGGAAGTATTGTGGCGGGCGGCGTAACCTTTTATTTGAGCCCAGTTTAGCTCAATCGCGTTATATTGGCAATGAT